CTGGGATTACAGGCGTGGACCATCGTGCCTGGCCTCTCTCTCTCTCTCTTTTTTTTTAAAGACACATAGCGGGGTTTCTTGAAGTGAATGAAGACAAAGATTTGTCCTGGGGCATATGTGGAAAGTGTAGAGGTCCCAAAATAGTTCATTGCAGAAGACCCATTTGGCACAGGGTACCAATTTTCAGGACTGTCCTTTCCATTGGGGACTTGTAAAAAAAGTGACCTCCATCTTCTTAAAAGGAAATAAGATCATGAAGGAATGTTTAATTATTTTATTTTATTTTTGAGACCAGGTCTCAGCCTGTTGCCCAGGCTGGATTACAGTGGCATGATCGCAGCTCATGGCAGCCTCAACCTCCTGGGCTCAAGGGATCCTCCCACCTCACCCTCCTGAGTAACTAGGACTACAGGCATGCATGCACCACATCTGGCTATTTTTTTTTTTTTTTTTTTTTTGTAGAGATGGAGTCTCACCGTGTTGCCCAGGCTGATCTCAAATTCCCGAGCTCAAGTGATCCACCCACCTCGGCCTCCCAACGTGTTGGGATTACAGGTGTGAGTCTATGTGTCTGGCCTTGCTTAATTATTTTAAAAACATAGGTCGGGCGCAATGGTTCAGCATTTTGGGAGGCTGCAACAGGCAGATCATGAGGTCAGGAGTTTGAGACCAGCCTGGCCAATATGGTGAAACCCCGTCTCTACTAAAAAAAATACAAAAGTTAGCCGAGTGTGGTGGTGCGCACCTGTAGTCCCAGCTACACAGGAGGCTGAGGCAGGAGAATCACTTGAACCTGGGAGGCAGAAGTTGCAGTGAACGGAGGTGGCACCACTGCACTCCAGCCTGGGCGACAGAGCAAGACCCTGTCTCAAAAAAAGAAAAAAAAAGTAAATAGTTTTTTCGAAGATTGCACAGCATTATGTAATTTACACAAAATCACACAGATCATATGTGACCTAGTCTTTGACCCAGATCTGATGCAGAAGCAGTGTTTTTGACCACTATGCAGTAATGCTTTCAAAAGCAAGGAAAGGTGACCATCTCCCCACCTACCACCTTTAATTTAGAAAGGATGCTTGCTGCAAGCAGGAGATGGTTCGGTTGCTAGATCAGACTGCACGCTAAAGGGAAGAGGCCGTGAAGAGTGGAGACCCTCACCCAGATGCTGACTGGAATGGTGATCATAACTGTTTCTCTGGTTCCATGTAAATGATAATGACTCTCACATCATAAGGTGCACAGCACACTTGATCTCTAAGGTGGAAAGAGTCATCAAAACAGGAGAATGTTTCCAGTTCTCCAGAGGGGCTTTCAGAAGATCAAGGTGGTGCTTGGGCAAAATTGTGAGTGATAATCACCTTACCATGTAGCAATTGGTAAGAAGCTTAAAACATACTTTTCTCATGAAATACTCTACATCACTTGAAGTAGGTAGTGCTGGGATCCTTACTTTACAAATAGGACACAGGCATAAAGAGGTCAAATGTCTGGTCTGAGATCCCACATCTAGAAAGTGGCCACAGGAGCCACACCAATCTATGATGCTTTATTCCCATCTAGGCTGCCTCTTCCATTCTGTGCTTACTCAAAGCGCCTGAGGTTCTTCACTTTCTTTTTACCACTGAAAAGGATCTGATATCAGTCATGTGCAACTAAGTATGCTGCTTAGTTGGTGGCTACCTCTTCAAGGATCATTTGTTCTTAGGCTTGCCAATGATATGCTGGACTTGGCTTGTACTGGCCTGAGGTAGCTAATTGTTAAATTTTCAGGAATCTGTGAACCAGCAGACTTCACATTGGTAGTTTAAAATGGGCCATGATGGGAGTATTTACACCAAAGGAATTGGCAAACACTATGAATCAAGGCTATCCAACAAGCCCCATACTCAGATTCCTAAGCATTTACCAGCACACCCATGTGCCCTTATCTCTCATTGCCTTCTGTTATAGAATTTCTGGCATCAGGGACTACTTGGAAAAAAATTGACAGGCACAGGAGAGACTCTGAAATCATGTCTGTCTGCAAGCCACTACCTGCCAAATCTATGCTTCTTTCTGGCTCACTGCTCCAGCAAGATGAAGGCGCTTTTTGGCCCCTCTGAAAACACTTGCACATCTCAATAGGAAAAACAGGCATCTAACACCAGAACTAAATCCATGTTAAAGTAAAAGCCTCAATCAATTAGTATTATAATGACAATAGGCATGATTTTTAAGGTTAGAATAAACATACTTGATTTATAGAACTACAGAATATGTTCTTGAGTATGTAGAAGGGTTATTTTTCATATGGTGTTATAAATTCATAGAATATGAGAATTGCAGGAATCATAATTTTACAAACGAGAAAAGAGAAAAACAAGCTCTGACACCCTAAGAGGGGCAATAACTGGCCAAACAGCTCATGATGCATGTATATCTACCCCACAAACTTGTATTGCCACAGAATAGAAGGAATCCAGGACCCTGATCTTAGCTTGACTTTGGAGAATCCTTGAATATCTACCATAATTTGAAAATGAATTGTTATGACACCCTGCTAGCTTCTGTAGAGACGTGAAAGGGATATAAACAATGGTTAACTTTTAGTAGATGCTTACCAGATGGCAGGGCCTATGCTAAGTACCTAATACATTAAGTTGAATTGTTTGAGACTTCTTATACCTGATATTCGACCTGCCAAATAATTTCAAAAAGTTCAGCCTAAAGACATTATACCTCTGAGTCTTTGCCATCTTCCTATGAAATGGGTACTAGTATCACATCCATTTTACAGATTGAAAGTGAAGGCTTTAATTTAAAAATGAAAATGTTCTTCCCACAGGTGTAATGTTATTTACTTATGAGTAATATTAATGCACTCTTGTGTACAAATTGGTGGCCCTAAACGATGTAGTATACATAAGACATGGACAATAATAACTCACATATATTACCTGTTTCAGGGACCTTGGATAAATTTCTAATTAATCAATTTCTATAATAATTAAATAATTAAAGAAATACTTTTAAAATGTTATTTATAAGTGTAAAAAAGGCATTAGAAAACAAGAAATTTGATGTTTGGACATGTATTCTCTGTATCTTACATGGAAGTATCAGAAACTACAGCCTAGGGCTCCCCAGAATGAAGTAATTGTCTTGGAATTTTTCATAATGCTCAGATAAAGAAGTAGGGTGATTTTACAACCTTGTCTACTTGCAAATTATGACCAATAAAATTCTGAATTGAGGCCATCTGGTTCTGTGATTATTTGCAAATAATATTGAGCTGAATTCACAAACAGTTCACAAATAAAAATTGGGCTAAAGAATTATTAGTACTAACTAAATAAAATGATACTATGTTGAATCAGGAAAACAAACTGGTGAAAACTGTAAAATGGGCTTTGGAAAAAATATTTAAAGGTACATGACTGTTCTTTCAATATGAAACAAAAACTTTAAATGTTCCATTCACAAAAAAGCATTGAGTAATGCCATGCAATTTATTAGCTCTACATGATAAATCCCCCAAGTTCACAAACTGGGCTCCTGGCCACCTGGCAGAGGCCTCGCACATAATTCCATGTGTTTTCTGATTGACTGGTAAATTGTTATCAGTAAGAGTCTGATAACAAGACAAGCAATTCTTTTCACTTTTAAAGAGGCAGCACTATGTCGCCTGTAACTTTTTTTTTTTTTTTTTTTTTTGTAATTCATCAAAGACATGCAACACCTGCAACTTTAAAAAGTGAGGCATCCATAGACTCTATACCCAGCCTGACCTCCTTTGGAGCTCCACCTCATGAAATGCTTTAAAGCCTGGCATGCCAAACAATCCCAAACTCATGCCTCCAGCTACTAAGTCAGACTCCAACGAAGTATCAGAGCACTTTTGTTTCTAAGTGACCATCAGGCACCTAATATTATTTTCCCTTCAGTAAAATATAAGTGATAATCCTTGTCCTACCCCAATAATGATGTAAAAATAATATAACCATACAGTAAGGAATCAAACACGCTTTGAAAAATTGCAGCATAGGGCTAAACAAGAGCCACTGCATAAAGCAAAGAAGTTTTAAAGAAGAAAGGGATCTTGAAGGTTGTTATTTCCAGTTTTTTCCTTTGATAAAGAAAGAACCTGAAATAGGGGGTAGACATTTGTCCAGATTGGATCACCTACTGAGAAGTAGTTTGGTCTCCTGACCCTTTGTCCAGTGCTTTTTCTACCAAACTACATTATTAGGATTATTCCTGTTGCTTTTGTTATTACTGATCTTAAAGAAGCATGAGACTATTTTGAGATACAGAGACAGACTGACCTAGCTAAGCAGCCATACTCTTCTGTGTAAGAACCGCTGGTCTGCACTGCAGAAACTTTGTTCTTAATAAACCTGGTGTCCTAGGAAGTCTACCAAGAGATGAAGAAGCTTGCCATTGTGCCTTACAACTTTTAGACAATTAAATGCCTGGGGAATCTTATTTCAAGATTGGGCAAGTGACGAGTATTGAGACAGACAGAGTTATTCATGAAAACGTTAACACGGAACCCCAAATTTAACCATTCTAAACACCAGTTTCTTCCACTGAAAATAAGCAAGCTGGGGTAGATCATCCCATCGAATGCTAATGTTGTATTAATCTAAGTTTCATTAAGTTTAGTATGTTTCATTAAATTTGGTATGTTTCATAGAAAGTTCAAGTTTTAATGAATCATAATACTTGCTTCCTAAAATGTTATTAATAATTTAAAAATCAAATATAATCTTGCACGGGGAAAAAGCTGATGAATATTAAATTTCCAGTTTTTAGAACTGAAATTGCCTCGCACCACCATTTCACCTCTTGAGTGCTCTCTGCATTCTCCTCTGGTTACTTTTACTGTACTTTTTATGCTGTTACAACAAGCATGTTTGTGTTTCCTGTATTCTATTGTATGCTATGTATATACTTTTGCATTAGCCCAGTCCAAACATAAAATACTATGCGAAAAAAGACAAATGAAACTGCTCACATACCCCATGACGATCCTCAAAGTATGCCAGGCTGGCTTTGGTTAACACAAAGAAGCGGACTTTAAAGTTCGAGGGAGAAGTTCTTCTCTTTTGTTGGGATTTCTTGATGAGCTGTTCTTCCAGGAGGATAAAGTTGTTCATGATCCAGTTCTTGAAATGTGATGCACCTTGGGCATCACCTCTCAGCACAACCAAAGGGAAGAGTTTTGGGGCAAAGAATGCAATGTGGAGGCAGTTGATCTTCAGAGAGTTGCTCAAGGGCAACTTGCCTTCAACGTTATCTTTCTATCAACATTCAGCCAACATAGCTGAGCTTCTCCTCTGATGTCAAAGGCCATAACCACATCCTTTCAAAATTCACAAAACGAGGAAGCAAATGTAAAAAATACATACAGGCTATGCTATACGGCTCAAAATGATATTTGAAAAACTGTAGACTCAAAATTATGGTAAGGATTACAGTTTAATCTTTATAGTTCCTGGTTTAATCCATCCAATCCATCCAGCAGTTAAAACATGTAGCACAAGGGGTAAGGACAATGCGTGGTTTTGCTTACCATGATATACTCAGCAACCATCACAGTGCCTGACACATAAAAAAGATGTTTAAGAAAAATTTGTTGAATGGATCTTCGCCAAATTGGGTTGGACAATTAAAAGAGGTAATGAGCACAAAACCCTCACACATTAAAATGAAGAAATATGTTACTGAAGTTTATTAGTTTTTAAGATTTAAATTAAAGCCCACAGAAATTTCTCAATGCTACATATAGATGACTGCCTTTCTGTCCTGACATTTTGTGAAACAGTGAAAAATAAGCGAATCCTTCAGAATGGCATAATAAACAAAGTATATATGGGCTTTAAAAACAAACAAACTTGTGTTGGATTCCCAGATCTGTCACTTACTAAGCTGTTTCTCTTTGAGCAAGCTGTGCCTCCTCTGATCCTTAGCTTCCTTGTGAGGGTCCCTTGGAGGACTGAATCCCATACATCTTACAAATGGTGGGTGCTAGTCATGCATGTTGCCTTAGAGTTAGTACATAGTTGAAAAATAATGTGTGGCATTTATCTCTACCATGTTAATAATCAAGAGATTTTAGTGTAAGCAGAGATGGCATGTACTGGGTAGTGATAAATAATAAATGAAACAATCATTCTTGCTGTATAGGAGTGAAATTCTCCAATGTTTATTTTTAAATGTAAATTACCAAACAATAGCCTTATTTTATTTCATATACTGGATGCCCCAGCATAATCAAGACACTCAGGAGGGTAGGGTACAGGTATATTTTAAATGATCTCCCCTATTCTGAGATTTTAAGACATATGTGTGAAAATATGCTGCTCAAACAAGATCTTTTTTTTTTTTTTTCTCCCTGAATATGGGCTTGAGTTAGGGATTGTTGCTTTTCCCAAATATCTACTCTCTCCTTCATACAAGAGTGACTGACTGAATCCCTGATGGTTTTCTGGGCATCTGGCCATCAAGAATAAAGACCACAATTTTTAGCCTCCCTAGTAGCTAGGTGTACTTGTATGACTGTCTTCTGGTCAACTGAATGTACAGAAGTGGTGTGCACAACTTCTAGGAAATTTCCTTAGTGGGATCTGTCATCCCCTTTTCTTTCCATTTTCCTCCTGCCTTCTGACTAGAATGTTGAGGTGACAGTTGGAGCTGAAGCAGCTATCTAGTATCATGAGGTGGAAATTGAATGTTGAGGACAATGGAGTATAAGATAGAAAGAGCCTGGGACCTTGGTGACCATGGATCTTCCATGCCAGTCCTGGATTACCTTTTTTAATATCTATTTTCTGAGTCTCAGTTATTTTGAGGTTTCTGTCACTACCAGGAAACCTAGATAATACAGTGTTATCTTCTCAAACTAGACTACAAACTCCTTTGAGAGAAGTACATTTTATACCTGCTTGGTTCAGATGAGAAGATTTACAGACTTCACAAAGTGTTCTCATCCGGGAAAACAAAACATCATCAGTAGCTGCTGCAATTGTTAGGAGTCTTTCATTTGCTCAGTCTCCATGGAGTGCCATCATAAGTAGTTTTATTCTCTTTCTCATAGAGCCATCAAACCCACTATCTCGGAATTGTCTTTGCCAACTTTAAATTGTAAACTTAGGAAGCTCAATATTTTTTTTCTCACTTTAAGGAAAACATAAACAAACAAAAAAAATAGTCCCTTTGTTTGTTTTCGTTTTAAAAAGTTCACTTCCCAGGAGCCAAATTCAAGGAGCTCCCACTTGCCAAAGATGGAACAATTTAAGTATCAAAAGGAATAATAATTGCCATGAATTGAAGAACAGCAAAAATGTTAAAGCAATGAGTCCAAAAGAGAATTGAAAAAAGCATCCCAACCTTTTGATCACTTTTGGAGGATGCTGAAGAACCAGCTTGTTTTTCTGAAAACTGGAAACAAAGGAAAAGAATAAAACATGTTTCCTGCTTTTCTTGAAGAACTATCTTTCAATTCAGTAATCAAGTATTTAATGAGGAAGTCCTTTTTTTTCCCGAGAAACCAATCAATGAAGGAGTGATAGAATATCATCATTTTGCAATGCCAATGAAATAATAAATGTAGGCAATGATCATCAATGGCTGTTAAAATTATTATGCAAAAAGTCAATACGAAAATTTATAACTGTCATATGAAGCTGACAACACTGTAACACGCTGATTAATCTTAAAAGAATAACAACCAGATGTTGTATGCCTCCTGAGGTGATGCAAGAGAAAGTACACAAAACCAACAGCTAAAGAGTCTTGCCAAGAGAAAACAAAATTGAACACAAATCTAATCAAACTTCGAGATATAAATTCGAGTTTACAGGAAATACAAGAGATAAATGGACCTGACAAATGACACTGTGGAGATGCAATTGGATAAGTCCAGAATACAAAACATGCTAAGGACAAATGATTCAGTGTCATTCACAAATAAGTCATAGAAGGTGGGGCACGGTGGCTCATGCTTGTAATCCCAGCACTTTGGGAGGCCAAGGGTGGTGGATTGCTTGAGCCCAGGAGCTTAAGACCAGCCTGGGCAACATGGTGAAACCCTTTCTCTACAAAAAATACAAAAAGTTAGCCAAGCATGGTGGCACACACCTGTAGTCCCGGCTACTCGGGAGGCTGAAGTGGAAGGATCACTTGAGCCCAGTGAGTGGAGGTTGCAGTGAGCTGGGACTGCACCACTGTACTCCAGCCTGGGTAACAGAGCCAGATTCTGTCTCAAAAAACAAAAACAAAACAAAACAAAACAACAACAAATAAGTCAGAGGGGGAACCCTTAGATTAAAAGAGACTTTCAGAGACATATGGGCATGTTTGGACTTTGGATTAAGAGTCAAGCAAATCAATTGTATAAAGATGTTATGAGATAATTAGACACATTTGAATGCTAAATCAATGTTTGATAATACTGAGAAACTTGTTATTTTTAAAGATGTAATAATAGGCTGCGCACGGTGGCTCACGTCTGTAATCCCAGCACTTTAGGAGGCTGAGGTGGGCGGATCATGTGAGGTCAGGAGTTCGAGACCAGCCTGGCCAACATGGTGAAAGCCCATCTCTACTAAAAATACAAAAGTCAGCTGAGTGTGGTGCTGTGTGCCTGTAATCCCAGCTGCTTGGGAGGCTGAGGCAGGAGAATCGCTTGAACCTGGAAGGCGGAGGTTGCAGTGAGCCAAGATGGTACCACTGCATTCCAGCCCAGGCGACAGAGCAAGACACCATCTCAAAAAAAATGGCACTATTATCATGTTAAAATAGTCCTTATTTTGCATAGAGACATACACTGAATTATTGATAAAACAATAAAATGTTTATGATTTGCTTCATTATAATCCAGTGGAGGGGGAGAAATCAGTAGGGGAAGGGATGAAAAATGTTTGAACATGACTTGACAATTGCTAAATCTGGCTAATGGGTACATCCTTATTCTACTCTCCTTGCACTGATGCACGTTTGAAAATTTCCCTAATTAAAAAGTTAAGAAAAGAAAAAGAGGCTGGGTGTGGTGGCTCACACCTGTAGTCTCAGCACTTTGGGGTGCCGAGGAGGGTGGATCACCTGAGGTCAGGAGTTCAAGACTAGCCTGGCCAAACCCCGTCTCTACTAAAAATACAAAAATTAGCCTGGCGTGGTGGCAGGCGCCGGTAGTCCCAGCTACTTGGGATGCTGAGGCAGGGGAATGGCTTTAACCTGGGAGGCGGATGTTGCAGTGAGCTGATTGCGCCACTGCACTCCAGCCTGGGTGACAAGAGAAAACCCCATCTCAAAACAACAACAACAACAACAACAACAACAACAAAGAAAAGAAAAAGAAAGCCCAGTTCAGTTCAAGATAATAATCAAAACTCCAAACATGTATTTAAACTCATGCTTTTCCTTAACTTTAAATGGGTTTGCTTCAGGATTTGAAGCACCTTGGCTTTTCCACCATGTCCTAACCTCTCTTTTCCTACACACAAGCCTGGTGTCTGACCCACCTGAGTTGGAAGCTCAGGCTGGAGGGAAAAGAGGAAGAGGGGCAAAGGGTGCAACATTTGTGTAGTTGCAGCAGTGATCTGGGGATGATGTCCCTGGGATGTGGTGGATGCATAATTGCTGCTTTTTCTTGCATGTTTCATGTGCTTCGTTATTTTCAGAGATTTTTCAGCTGAAGAGTCTGACAACTATTCCCCTGATGTGGGAGATGCCACTCTTCTTGGCCAACGAGCCCAACCCTCAGCCCTTGGGCTTCAGCTGTTCCAGCTCCCGTCAGGATTCAATTGCCCACTAGGTTGTCCTCTTGGGTAAAATTTCCTTGAAAATGAACTACAGAGGCTGGGCATGGGGGCTCACGCTGGTAATCTCAGCACTTTGGCAGATTGGGGTGGGAGGGTCCCTTAAGCTCAGCTTGGGCAACACAGGGAAACCTCGTTTCTATTAAATAAAAAGAAAAAAGAGCCAGGCACGGTGGTTCATGCCTGTAATCCTAGCACTTTGGGAGGCTGAGGCAGGCGGAACACTTGAGGTCAGGAGTTTGAGACCAGCCTGGCCAACATAGTGAAATCCTGTCTCTACTAAAAATACAAAAATTAGTTGGGTGTGGTAGCATTCGCCTATAATCCCAGATACTTAGGAGGCTGAGGCAGGAGAATTTCTTGAACCTGGGAGGTGGAGGTTGCAGTAAGCTGAGGTCGTGCCACTGCAATTCAGCCTGGGGGACAGAGTAAGACCCCATCTCAAATGAAGAAAAAAGAAATGGAACCACATACCACTTATTTCCTCCCA